TCTAAATAAAATAATATTAGAACTTTTACTATTAATGCTAAGGAATTATAAGTTTTATATTTGGTGAAAAAGTGTCCGGAAACTTTTGTCCACCCTCTGTATTTAAATTATACAATATTTAATAAATATGTATATTTCAAAACCAGCGGAACCAAATATTATGTTAAAATGTAGATCAGACGATTTTTTATTGGAACGAACGTCAATTATTCCTCATATATGAGTTACAGTAATTATTATTCAAATTTTTGCCAATTTACGATTGTAAAAAAATTTTCCTAGCTCTGGTCAAATTTATAATGCCTGCCTGAGTTAACCAGGTTATTAACCGGTTAGTCAAAAAAAAGAAGACTCAACATTATAAACAACAACATCAGCGTAGTAAAAAAAAAAAAAAAAAAAGAACATCTTAACTACTCTTTATTCGAATAATAAAACAAGCTACTAAATTTGATTCATTGCGGAATTTAAAAAATCTGACTTTCGTAAATAAATTTTGCTCATATATATTGCACTTTACATATAGAAATTTCACACCAAAAGGCGGGACACAGTTATTATACAATTTTTTATTATAAGAATATATATAGGGTGGTAAAACAATATTGTGTACATTTCAAAAATATCGAATTGAAAATAATTAATAGATGTATATAAAAAAGAAAAAGAAAAAATGTATTAACTATATTTCTATTTCAATGTACGACTGTACATGTACAAGATTCTCCCAACATGAATGCCCAGTATTCTACGTCGCTGGTTAGCACGACGAATATAAACAAAATAAAAAAAACCAAAATGCCACTAATAAAAAACCATGTGTGAAGGTACTTATTACCTATCACACTTTTTTCTCCCTTGCAGTGGTGGACGAATGCCAAAAAACTGTTGGTTGACCATATAGAGGCCAGCACACTTAAATATTTACAACGGCAGAGGCAGCCGATTGGAGGCGTGAAACGAGCAAGGATCACAACAGCCCAAGGGATTCCTATCGACATTATGCCAGTCAAAATGACGTAGCAAAATTCAAGATCATCAGCGTATTTAACAGGGATTATTGATGTTCTGTTAGCTAACTTTTGATGCCGTTTCCTTTTATTCTTTTTAAATTTTTTACACCTTCTTTTGCACCTCTTATGTTTCTTGAGTTCTTCATAAACTTTATAAATTTCGTATTTTTCATGTTCTTCAACAAACTTCCGAATACTTTCATTCGGATCTTTAACAACTAGGATTCCTCCAATTATTCTCCTGAAAATTGCTGGAATTGTCCAGGATAGTGCCAATGGCACATGTGGCCAAAATTCACAGTCGCGTCGGTCAAACAACCGACTGATACCTGCAAAGATACCAATTCCCATGTAATATGCTGGGGCCAATGACGACAGCCTTTCTAATACAGATGCCTGTGCTGTGCATTCTTCTGTAATAGCTTCCATTTCTCTCGTAATGGTTGGTTTTCTAAAATACATTCCAACCGGCCTGTAGGAAATTTTCTTGCCATCGACGAATTTCTCTTCGTCATGGTTTCCGATGAAGCTAAAATATTTAGCCTCGATCCAGTAGATACATAACGCCATCTCGTCATTACTGACGTTGCATGTATAATGCAAGCCAGTAAAGGGACAACCAAGGCACCTGAATACCCACATGAGCTTTCCCCTGAATCCTCTTATAGGGGATGCACCAATAGTAGCGATAGCTGGTAAACATCCAAGTACGTACGGTGGAATTGGTGTAGACAGGTGTTTTAAAAATGTGGAAATGTAACTAACATGTTCGAAATTATCGCTCATTGTTTTGCAAACGAAAAGTCGAAAAATATTAAAGACTTAAAAAATAAAAATTAACATTAATAGATGATCTGCGGATCACACGTTGCACGGTTCGGAAAAAGAGAAAAAAAGAGAAATTGATTTCTTAAACTCTAAAACAATATTAATTTATCAAACTCCATCATTGAAGAGATAATCAATACTTAGGAAGATAATCTTTAACCTTATACGAAACTCATTTATACTTCCGATAGAAAGAATTTAAAGCCTGCTGTTGATGACACAATTTTAATTTTTACTATTTTGCTGACATAATTTGCTGTATCACTATTTAATGAATGAAGCCAACGGCAATTAATACTTTTGCTCAGTCATTTAAATACTAAATGGGAAGAATCGGGTTCTGAGAATTTTTTGACTAAATTAAAATTGAAAAATTCCCAGACCCTGATTTCCTAAAATCTTGCCATATATTTTTTAAGAATAATTTACGCAGCTTTTTTTTTTAAATTTACTTAGTTTACTAAAGGATCCTGAGGTTTTGAAAAGTTTAATTTGATTTTAGTAAAGTGGCAACGGAAACTTTCAGATATAAAATCCGATTTTCATTCGATAAAAATAACCAGCAAAACTTAACATTCAAGTAACGCAGAAATTTTTAAATGATAATAATGATTTTGGTTTATTAATAATAAATTAGTTAAGTTTTCATTTTAAAGATTTATTACAATCACGGTCTGATTTACTAAAAATATTTTTTTTTTTTTCGGTTTTTAAAACTAGTTTGGCGATCGTACGAATAATTGATGAAATCCAGTTTTAAAACATGTTATTATTACGAAAAGTCTTGATGGTGGTACTTTTCTTAAGATTCTTGCTAAACATTTCTGAAAATTCTTATAGCACTAGGTAACGGATCCATTGTAATGTCCAAAGCGTTAGTTTATTTAATTTAAGGGTAACCACATCTGGAAATCAGATAATGTGAAAACATCTTATCGGTCGATCACGCGTGCGGACAGACGGACAATGCATCAAAATGAGTCTAACCGAAGATGTCTGAAGCGTAGCTGAGGACAAATAATATTTGAATAAAGTAACTTTTTTGCTTACATAACAAAAAAAATTAATTTTTGAAATTGATTTTCCACATAAAACAGGTTACATCGTTATTTCGTGAATAAAAAATAAATAATTGATTTTTTTTTTTTTTTGAAATTTGTGCTCTTTTCTTTAAATTCTTCTTTTGGATCAGACCACTTCAAGACAGTTTTTTTTAGTTTTGGTTTTTTCGCTTAGATTTTTTCTTTTTTATAGTAAATATAAATATTCCTTTTTGGATGACAGATGATCTGCAGGCTTTTATAAAATTTTTTTAAGCAATTTCTTCAAATTAGGCTACAATTATCACGATTATTACGACAAACAGAATGACAAACTATAATGATATCGTATCGTATTTACATTACCAAATGGAAATAGCATTAGAATATGGAAGATAAATTGAACATATTATAGTATGAATGAAGACTTTCTATATCTATTATAAGTTATCGGAGCTGATTCTACCCTGATCTACAAAGACTAAACCGCAAATATCGAAAACTATCTAAATGATGTAAAACTACGGTAAGATCATAATTTTTATCAAATTTTTTGTGATTGCGAAATGCCACAGAAAATTTTTTGAAAAAGTTGCCTAACCGAAGCTTTACATAAAATTTTTTTTTTAAAAAAAAAAAAATTAACCCCACTGAAGCCTCTTATAAATGTCTTATAAGAACTTAAAAATGCTGCTCCCACATCTCTTAATTAAAAAACTCCTTCTATAGCATGCATGCAACTCTTTAATTAAATATTAAAATAATCTACCTCCATAGCATTGATTAAAAAAAAGGAAAGCAACTCCTTTAAAGGTTTTTTCTTAAAAAAAATAATTTACGTTACAGGTCATAAGAACCTTAAAATACTTTTTTTTATTTTTGACAAAAGATTTTTATGAAAATTTATCTATATCTGCTGATGTCTAATTGACATCAAAAAAATTTTCCATCATATATTTTTGAACAATTTATTTTGTTAATAGATTGGTGAAGAGATTCTCTAAGAACACACATTATTCAATTTAGAAGTGTATTTTATAAATAAATAATATTTTTTGTATGTAATAAATGTTCGACGAAAATGATCAACATTACATGATAAAGGTAAGAACTTTAAAATATATTAACCTAAACAAAAAAAGAATTAATATTAATTTATTTGAAAGTTAGACCTGAAACGGTACTCTTAAATGTTTTCTATTTTTAAAAAAATTGCAAACCATTAGAGCAGGTTTCGGATGATAAGAATACTTCTTTATTAGAAGATTAGGTCATGTTAGCAAGAAAATCATTCATAAATAAAGGGAATTGTAATAAATTATAAAGTAAGAGAACTGAAAACTGAAGGAGTGTAATTTTATCAATTGGAATGATGTATCACAGTTTGAGAAATAGTTGTATTTTTTTGAATCTCAAAGAAAAATATGTGCTAACTATATAAGTCTAACTTTTAAGTTAGTCGTAAGAGTAGTGATATTTTTAGTCAATTTGAATTGGATCCTCTAATTCGTATTCTCGTATTCATAGTAAATAAAATGCAAATGATTATATTAAATAACTATTTACTACCTTATTATAAGGGTTGCATTGGATTTCAGAAAATATTGATCAACATTTTTTGGTCTGACCTCCTAATGAGACGGTAAGCTGATTGAACTTAACAATAAATCCAATTTTTGTTAGTTCAATTGCCTAAATGATGTTTAGAACTTCTTATGTATATTTAATTTATATCTTTAATTTCTTACATAAAAAATACAAATTTTTTAAATTTTGTTTCCGAAAATATTTTTTCTAATTTAGATTAGACCATTTACGTGTGCCAGTTTATTTTTTATTTTTATTTTTATTAATAAATTTTTTTTTCAATAGTTATCATATTTGTTATATTTTAAATTTATTATATTTAACTTTATCTGTTATATTATTATTCATCTACTGTATATAATAAAGTCAGATTGGAATTTTTATATAAATAGTCCGGTAGTTTGACTTGATCGACAAAGTTTCGAAGTTTTGCGTTAAGAAGTCTTGAGAGAAGATATAAGGTACTATAATTAATAAAATTCTTATCTACACGATTCATTTGTGTAATTGATTATATGAGATAGAATTCGAAAGTATTAATTGGATTGGTACACAAGATTTAAGTTTTATTTTGTTGACTTAGTTTCGGTACAATTAGTTAACAACGGGTTGGAGTGCAAAGTAAATTTTTACTCTGATTTTATCCTTTCATTAATTTTTTTTTTTTAGGTAATTTCTTTAGGGTTGGATACTAGTTAAAATTTTTCGTATTAAATTATTCTTTTATTGTATCGTTTCAGAGCGCAGCGACTGATGATTTCTTTATTTTTTTTGAATTTCGCCCTTTAGGTTCCTCTTCTGGATTGGTTCTCTTCCAAAATTTATGGACTGCGAGATGGATCGTTGAATTCTCCTAATGAGGCGCAGTAAATATTTTACGCATTGTTCAATTTATTGGACTTCCAGTTCCAATTATTCAATATACTTACACAACAGTATATAGATTGAACTGTCACAAAGTAAATTAACAACACCTCTCGTCCGTAATTATATTGACGGTATCTTCATTCATGACATAATGTTGAAAAAGATTCTTACGAAATCGGGGGGGGGGGGGATTTTTAGTCATTTACATAATGATAATTAATAACTTTTCGTAATTTTGTTAATTCTCCATTGTATTATTATCATTTTCTTTTTTTAAAAATTTTTAGAATTGTTGTAAGGCCTCAATAAAATTAAGCTCCTTTTTGAATTTCATAAGGTCGGACGACCAATTTCAGAAAGTAGTAACTTTATTTGGTAAGGCAAATAGCGGTTAGATCCTTTTAGTTATCAGACTAGATTATTTAAGGGAATTATTTACCAAGGGCTGAGAAAAAGAGAGATTTTTATTGGTCATTATGATGCAAGAAAAAGCAATAAAACTCATTGAAATAACCAATCCGAACAAATTAAATAAAAAAAAATCTTCAAAATGGTTTTAAAGAATAATTTGGAAAAATCCTTAAAAGACTTGGAAATGAGAGTTAAGGAGTTAGAGCAAA